GACACTTGAGTAAGAATTGAGATATAGCTGTAAAAGTGTTAGTGAACACAGAAGTGTCTATATAATATATTAAAGATTATATAATCTGAAGACTGAAAGAGATCTGCTGAGTGAAGAATCTCTAATATATAAGATTATCTGATAATTAATATTTGATATTATCTGTAAGAGTAAGAGTTTCCTTGCACTTTGAAGAATAACCTTACTATATTTGAGTATGAGAGCTGCAGAATATGAAATATAATCTTATTCTTAAACTCAATTAATTTCAAAGATTCAATCTGCAGATTCAATGATGTACATGCTATATATAGTTGACTGATAGAAAGAAAACAGTTCATATAATTCTATCAACTGATATGAGAAGAACATTTCACATCTTTGATATCAAAGAATTAAACCTGCTTATACATTAACAAGCAAAGAGAATGATTTACAAGATCTTCTCTGAAAGTATTCTGTATATCATACAGAACTCAGAAGTGAAGAAAATTAAGATAAAAGATATATAAAAGAACAAGTGTATGAAGAAGCTTCTGAAGAAGTATAAGAAGATCTTCTGAACAGATCTTTCACTGAAATTGCTGCTGAAATGAGGATTTGTACATGAGATTGACACAGAGAATGCAAAATCAGTCAATCAGAATGTATACTCTCTGTCACAAACATATCTTGAAGAACAGAAGTATCAGATCACAGACCTTCTAGAACATAGTCTTATATAACTCTTATCAAGTGCATGAGGCTTTCCAGTTCTATTTATGAAAAAGATGAGTGAGAAGTGATGAATATATATCAATTATCAAGCACTTAACAAGCTTATGATTAAGAATAAATATTCACTGTCACAGATTTAATAATAGTTGAATACAGTTGAAAACATCTGATATCTATCAAAGATTGATCTTCTCTCAGAATACTGATAGATCTGTATAGATAAACTGTCAGTTCTGTGAACTGTGTTTAATATGTAATGAGAGAAGTTTGAATTTCTGATAATATTATTCAGTCTGATAAATATGTCTGTCATTTTTTAAATAATGATGAATACAATTCTTCATAAACAGAATGAAATCTCATATCTTATATATCTCAATAACATTCTAGTCTTTTCAAACTCATACAATGAATATCTAAAGTATCTTAATAAAGTGCTTACAACTCTGATAGAGTATAAGCTCTATATTAAATTAACAAAGTATGTGTTTAAAATGAAAGAGTTGAAGTTTATAGAATATATAGTGAGTGATGACTGTATATACCTTATTCTGAAAAAATTGAATGTTATAGTGAATTGACTGCAGCTAAGAAATGTATACTATATATAATAGTTTCTTAAGTTAATCTCATATTACTGCACATTCATCAAGAATTTTGTATAAATATCTGCATCACTCTCAGATCTCTTAAGAGAAATGAATACAAATCTGTGAAAGAAGAAGTTTCATTCAATCATCTGAAATACTGTGTGTGAAGAGGCTTTTCTCACACTGAGAAAATGTGTAACAACATCTTCAGTGCTTATTCAATCAGATTGTGATAAACCTTTCTACATTGTAACAGATGTATCTGAATGAGCTATCAGAGACACTCTTCTATAGATGAGTAAGAATGACAAGCTGCATGTGATAATATATGATGATAGAAAACTATCAGACACTGAGCTTAATTATTCAGTGTATGAAAAGAAATTACTGACAATTAAGCATGTGCTGACATTGTGAGATAGATATATTAATAACAGGCATATAACAACAGTGATCACAGATCATGAAAGTCTTGTCTATCTATAATTGATGATAAAACCTTTCAAATACTTAGTATATTGAATCTCAGAGTTTCAAGTATATAATCTTCATATTAAATACTGAAAGGAATTGAACACTGTGATATCTGATGTAATCAGTCACAGATCTGATTTCATAAGTGAGAATTCTGTGAATCAGATATAAGAGATATTCACATTAAATGTGCTGAGAGAATGCAAGAAATCAGAATGACTGAATATTATAATCTCTCACTTAAAGAATGATAAGATGTTGAATGATAAGTATCTTATAACAGTAGTAGAAGAGATGCTTCTGAACTTCAAGCTAAGGAAATTGAAAAACAACATTGTGCTTTATCATGATCTAGAATATACAGAAGCTCTCTATCTAGAATCTTTATTTAGACACAACATAGTGACTTACATATATAAGGAATTCAGTCACTTAGAAAGCTCTGAACTTATGAGTGTACTTGAATCAAGTGTATACTGATCAAGCATGACTGAGAACATTCAGATATACACTCATGAGTGCTTAAATTATCAGGTTGTAAAAGAATCTAAGAAAGGATTAGAACATGAAAAAGTGTAATATCAGATGAAGTGTATGATACAATCATTTAAACAATGAAGAATGAATCTCATAGACATATTACTGTGAACATCAAATAAAAATTAATGAATAATCACTGCTATTAATTACACTACTGACTGACTAGTTATAAAAGTATTTTTAGAGATGATAGAGAAGATGATAGTGAAGTTTCTATACAATAAGATCTATATCAACTATGAAATATCATGCAAGATTCTAACTGATAATGATGTGAACCTTGTGAGAGAAGTGATGAGGCATTTTGTGAGCCAGTTACAGATAAGACATTGTAGAACAACATTATATTATCTGTGAATAAATGAGAAGATGAAATACTTGAATGAAATCTTGAGCAACATGCTGATGAAATATCTAGTGAGCAAGTCTATAAGACTATGAAATGAATATCTCAGACAGGCACTATTGACTACACAGATTCAACAGCATGCAGTCTTCAAGTGTTCATCATTCTATCTGTTGTATGAATTGCATCCGTGCATCCCGGAGAATGCTTTCAAAAAGATGAGAGAGAGAACAGCAGTTGCAGACACAGTAGAAACAGCAGTTGCAGATGCAGAAGAAATAGCAGTTACAGACACAGCAGTAGTAGTTGCAGATGCAACAGTTGTGAACACAGAATCAAGATTGAAAGAGATCAGCCATGCATATGCAAAAGCTAATGAGTTACTTCTGAACTGAGCAATTCAATTGAAAAGAATATGAGACTCACTAGTTAAGAAATCAAGTCTCAAGATGAGAATGTGAGTTCTCATACATAATGAGAGTTCTGAGAAGTTTCAATCTAGATGATTTAAGTTATATAAAATACTCAAATCACATTCTCTGAGAATATACATATTAAAAGAATCAGAGAGATGAGTCTTATACAACTTAATAAATAATTCATAACTTGTGAAAGCAAAGATGCAAGATCTGAGTGAATTATGATTATTCACAGCACTATTATCAGTATTGAAAAAGAAGAAGCTTACAATTGAAAAGTCTTACAAAGTAAGAGAGATCATAGACACTTACAAATCAGATAATCTCACTTATTTCAATCTTTTCACAATTATAAGAAGAGAATGAAAAGAAATGAAGAAATCAGATAAATACTATACTTCAATAAGTGATGAGACTGTAGCTGATTATATGATAATATATCATAGACAGCAGGTGTAATGCAGTAAAGAGCAGTCTCAAAGCAGCAGACTTATATATAAGTCAGATCACAGAAGAAAAAGAAATTCAGAGTTGAATTCAACTGTTTACATCAGTTCAATCATGAAGATCACAGAGAACAAACTATCTAAAATATTCACAGACATGTGAGATTAAGTCATCTTAACTTCTGAAGATGATCAGAGATCAGATGAGATTAGTTTCACTAAGCTATTCACTGTAGTGATCTAAGTGAGTGAAGAGAGAGAGTATAATGTATAAGACAGAATCACAAAAGATGAAAGCTACTGAATCTAGTCACTGAACACTGTATTATATAGAGATTATATAAGAGTAGTGACCAGCAGATAAAGAAAAAGTATAAGAAAAGAAAAGAGATAATGAATTAATCATCAATTATAAGAGTCAGCTGTAAAAAGAAAAATATTATTATACACATCTCATTCATTTTTATATGTCACACATTTAATCTATTTTCAACATCATGCCACTCAAAAAATGGTGAAAACAAAGAAAATCTCAAAACTTGAGATCTGTAAGAGATTTGAGAGCTGCAAGCTGCTCTTATAATAATACTGTGTATATCTCTGATTTCTCTACTGCTCTGTATACAACATTAATGTCATTTATTACAAGATTGACTGAAATGCTAATATAGAAATGTGCATGCATATATGTAGAGAAATTGAAGAAGAGCACAGAACCTGCAGAATCAGAAGTCAGAGCAGAGAAAGCAGAGATAGAAGAAATAGAAGAAGAAGAAGACACAGAACTGAATAAATAACAGCAGAAGCTACTCAGAGTTAAACACTTATAATCTGATATATGCACAATCTTTCTCACAGAGAAGAGAGAGAAAGTGATGAAAGAAGCTTAAGAGTGAGAGAGAGTAGTCTCAGTGATATTATTATCTTCAATTAGAATGATCTCAGATATCAGAGTAACTAAGAATCATTGTTAGTATATGAAAATTATAAAATCAGAGATGAGAACAGTTACTGAATAAACACTCACTGATCTTAGAGTTATACATATAATTACAACACACACAAGACTTCTCAGAAAGAGAGAGAGAGATACAGAGAAATACAGAAAGCAGAACACAGTATATAAACAGCTCATTTTCATGATAACATCTCAGACAAGATGTACAAGCCTCACATCTGCAGGTGTAAAAGAGTATGACATTTATATTCTCATTCTCAAAAACACAGATATTCTTCATCTGCATCACAAAGTCAGATAATAAATGTCAGAGAATAGGCTGATATGAGTTAATCATGCTGAAGATATTTATCAGAGTAGATATACTCATAATATTGAATTTAACAGTTATGAAAAGTTTCTTAATATCTGAGAATATCATGACTTTGTGTATAATAAAATCTATAATAATTTTCTCTGAGAATAGAAAAATCAGCATTAGAAAGAAAAGATAAAAAGAAAAAGACTTACAATCTTAATACTGTTAAGAGAGAAAATGATTCTCTGAAATAAATGAATAATTGTCTTATCATGAATATTTAAAATGAATGTAATAATCAGTGTCTGTAACTGAGCTTCAGATAGTTATATCATACACTGTCTTTATATAATAAATTATTCTAGAGATCAGTAAGAAGAGCAGAAGTGTATATACTGAGAAACATGATTCACTGAGTCTATGCAACATCTTCTTGAAACAGGGAGAGCTAGTAATAAAGGCAGCGGTGGGAGCAGAAGTAGCAGAAATGAGAGTCGCAGGAACAGAGATAGCGGGAGCGGGAGAATCAGACACAGGAACAAGTGTAGAAGATTGAGAGAGAGCAGCAGAGAAAGAAGCAGCAGAAGAGACAGAGAAGAATGTAGAAGACTCAGTCACACATGATATGAATAATTTCTTTATTATCATATTCTTCAAGTTCTTGATCAATGACTTAACATTGAGTTCACTATCATCAGTGAATATGAATCTGTCAACACATGAAGATTCTATATAAATAAAAACAATATATCAGTATCTGCATTCATGCAAAATCATGTTAGAAAACATGATCAGAAATCTGCTAAGAAGAAAAAACAGTTAAGAGTGTATGAGAAGATGAAGAAGATGTGTCATTTATAATAATATATTCTGACAATCATTAGAAGATAAACAAGTCCTGATTATATTTCACAATGTATTACACTTACTGCTAATGAACTGCCTGGTATGAGCATTATGAGAATGCTTATTATGAGAATGAGAGATTATTGCCAGAAATGTATACAATATGATAGATAAACAGATGAAAAGAGTTGAACAGAAGAAGAAGTAGAAATCTTGAATGAGATAGTAATGTTTAATAATGATGATGATGAAGAAGATGATTGAAGAATGAGAAAAGTTAGTGAATGAGTGATGTAATATAGTGAAAGTTTCTTTATAAGAGTGTATGCAGAATGCTAGCTGAATCAGAGATAGATTACAAGATCACAAATACTAGTGACATGCTAATCCGCATGAAGCTAGAGCAGATATCATGATCACATGAGTGTGACTGAATCTGATGAGAGAGAATGTGATTTGAAAGAATGTATGATGAGTCAGAAGACTGTATGATCATCAGATAATAATGCGGCCGCTTCTGAACTTGCTTATGAGTGTAAAGAGGCTATAGCGGCCGCTAATTAATTTAGCGTATGATATATAAGAAGCCGGCGTACGCCTGTAATTGTACGCTGGCTCAAGCAACCGTTGAATCACACAGGTAGAGTGATTCAAATTGTAATATAATGAAACTAAAGCAGTGACTAGTTGATGATATTATGTAGAGATAGTTGTTTAAGAAGCTGTATGAGTGAGCTTGACTATCTTGCTTGAATAGTGAGCTTGTAGACTACAGAGTTATTATAAGAATATCACAGATATAATACTTAGTATACTAAGAATATTGTATAAGATATGCAGTAACTCTTATATATATTTCAGTAGAAGAAAAAATGAATCACTGACTTCTTTGATAAGAAGTTAGCATCTAGCTATTCTATATAGATAATGAGTGAATACTCTTCTCTCATTTCATAAGTGAGAATAGTCAGAGTGATATCTCAGCAGCATCTCATTATCAAGAAAGAGTAATCTGCTGACCTTATATAAAAGTGAAGTTCTCATATTCATTAATCAGATCTTTCTATAATATATCTGAATAATATTATAGAGTGATTGAAAACTGGTTCAGACAGAATGAAATCATCTGCATGAAAGTGATAGACTGTGTGAAACCGCAACGAGGCCTTGGCGCGGCCGGGAGCGTGACAATTGCAGTATTTCAACATCTTTTGATACTTTGAAATCATTTGAAAATATCATGACAAAGGAAAAGAGAAAATAGTCTTAAAGATAGACATATTAAATGAATAGATAGAAATGAACAGAAAGGAACAAGTATAGTAAAGAGAGACTATAATAATTTTTTTTTTAAAAAGATAGTGTATAGCTATTTTAACATACTGTATTTAATCAATTTTCATCTCATTGTGGTTCGGAAGAACGTACGACCGTCGGATAATAACGCGGCCGCTTCTGAACTACTAGCTTACGAGTGTAAAGAGGCCATAGCGGCCGCTAATTAATTTAGTGTATGATATTACAATATATAAGAAGCCGGCGTACGCCTGTAATCGTACACTGGCTTAAGCAACCATTGAATGACATCTGGTAGCATGTCTAAAAACTGGTGAGAAGTACAGACTTCTTCAGAGTGTGATAATTTCATCTATGAAGTGATTTGTAGTTATTATGCCAGTGTGATTCTAGAATGTCTCAAAAGATAGTGTATGAAGAGTGATAAGTGAAAGAGCATTTAATTGATACTGCTTTATTTGTTAAGAAAAAACTCCACATTCAGATGAATGCCATATATGAGATGTGAATGAATGAGATGTGAGAAAGAGAATAAGAGCAGTGAATCAGATTCAAAGAAGTCTGCTTTCTACTCAAAAGAAGATTAAAAGAGAGAAGTGACTATCACTGAAGTTAAATAATGATAACAGAAATCATATAATGACATAGCAATATAATGATATAGTGATATAACAATACAGTGATATAATGATAGACACTGTATAATTAATGAGAAATCACTGAAATGAATATTTTTTCTAGTTAATACAAACAACACTCTTCTCTGTTACTTGAATCAGAAGATATGCAGAATCTTTCAGAGAGTTTACTTAAAGCAGTAAGAAAAGCAGTCAAGACTGCTGAACTGAAATTAAAACTCTGTATATATACAAGAATTCTAAATGAGATTGAGACCTTGTGTACACAGTGACAGACTGAGATAAAAGTCAAATAATAATTGACATTCACTGCAGATTAAGTATTCACTATAAAGAGCTTCATCAATGCAATTATCATCATTAATAAGAATAGAGAAAATCAGATCTTAGATCTGCAGTAAGAGATTGAATGTTTATACAGATAGATGACTACACTGAATCTGAAGATCTCATTATAATTGTTTATAATCTCTTCAGAAGTGTACATATTATCAGAGATTACTGCATAAGATAAGAATCTCAGTATGAAATATATCAAGTCAGAAAATCTGCTGAAGTCATCAAGCTTTAATAATAACTGAAAAAATAATACTGTAATCAGCTGACTAAGTCAGATATGATTATATTATCAGATTAAATATTAACTCATAGACAGACAGTTAATGAAATTTTAATAAGTCTTAAGATCTGTTATATTTCTACATGAAAAATCAAAGTCATTATAAATAACTGATAAAAAGATGAATCTCACAGATCTGAAGTGATATTCATTCTTATAAATATAAAATGAGTTTTTCAAATAAATCTTACATAACTTTGAGAAAGTGAATATAGAAGATAAGTGTTATAAACACTTCACTGAGTGTAGATAAGTGAGTAATCTTATATTATACTTCACACACTTCAGTTTATACTATCTTATATTGAATGAAGAGCTTTCAATATCTTTCTATTTACAGATCTTTATTTATAATCTTACATCTGAGTTGAGAGCAGAATGAAAATGCTTAATCTCACAGTCAGACACAGTGAAGAAAGCATATAATATTCTTATTATATGAGAATAAGTGAGTCAATTGTAACAGAAAATACTGCAATTGAGTATATCTCAGTGAAGAACAGATAATCAGACTTCTACAATATAAGTTATACATCTGAATATGATGAATCTAGATCTAAATATCATCACTAAAGTGCTGAATTCTCTGAAAAAGAGATTCTCTGAGTGAAAATCTTAATATTATGAGTATTGAGCTTGCTTCAACTGTGAATATTAAAATCATGATGTAAAAGATTGCACTCAGTGTGTACAGTCAAGAGAAGTAAGAGAGTTAAAAAACTAGTAGAATCAGTGAGCTTGAAGACACTCACTGATATTCTATGAAAAGTCTTTAAAGTGAAAGAGATGCCTGTGTTAGATGACTCTCTGAATTCTATAAATACAAAGAGAAAGCAGGCTTCTGACTGAGATGCAGGTGAGAAAGTGAATACTCATCTCAATGTCTTAAGACCTGAAATGTTAATGTATAAGAGAGGTACTTGAGTAGACTGGCCGCTGAGACCATGAATTTCACGTTTGGTTTCATTTGATCTGGTCCCATACATTTCTTGGCGTGAATCCCGCTGGGACTGGCTATCAAAAAAACAGGTAAAGTGACTATATATCAGATCTTAAAATGAAACCATGACTGGAAAAAAATGAGAAAGTGATTTCATTTGATTCCATTTAGTTCCATTCTTAGCATAAAGTTACTATTTTTAGACATTTTAAGGTTTTTTTTAGACTATTTTTAATTTTTTAAAAAGTAACACTTTTTGATAATGCTCAAATGAGATTTAAAGTCATTTAAAGTAATAAAAATAATTTAAATTGAGAAGTGGAAATCATGATCTTATTTGAAAAATGTGACAAGAGTAGACAGTAAGTTCTACTGAGACAGTATGAAACTACTATCTAATGTTAAAACTGTGTAATGAGATCAGTCGAATTGGTAATAAGACTATTAAAAAATCTGGTCCTGGTCTCAGACACGGTCACACGGTCAGTCTATACTTAAGTAAGAATTGAGAGATGGCTGCAAAAGTGTTAGTGAACATAGAAGCTTTTATATAATATATTAATAATTATATAATCTGAAGACTGAAAGAGATCTGCTGAGTGAAGAATCTCTGATACATAAGATTATCTGATAACTGATATTTGATATCATCTATAAGAGTAAGAGTTCTCTTGCACTTCAGAGAATGATCTTGCTATATTTGACCATGAGAGCTGCAGAATATGAAATATGATCTTATTTTCAGACTTAATTGATTTCAAAGATTCAATCTGCAGATTCAATGATGTACATGTCATATACAGTTGACTGATAGAAAGAAAATGATTCATACAATTCTATCAACTGATATGAGAAGGACATTTCACATCTCTGATATAGAAGGATTAAATCTGCTTATTATTATTATTATTATTCTTCAATTATAGATGTATGCAGTCAGAGACTATGACATCTACCTGAGAACTTTAGTTCTCAGGGTTTTTTCTATGTCTGTAAAGTTAACTATTGTACATTCATCAATTTCAGATATGCAAAATCAGAAAATTCCAGCTCAGAATACAAAAACTGTTTACAAATTGCAGTGTTTTAACATCTTTTGATACTTTGAAATCATTTGACAATATCATGACAAAAGAAAAGAGAAAAAGAACACAGTCTCAAAGATAGACACATTAAATAAATAGATAGAAAGAAATTGAAAGAAAAAGATAAAGAAAAAGATAAAGTAAAGAGAGACTATAACAAAACAAATTATTAAAAGAGAGTGTATAGCTGTTTTAACAGACTATATCTGATTAATTTCCTTCTCTTCATACTCAGATAATTCTGAATTTAGCCATTTTCTTGTAGCTGCTTGAGTTTCTGATAGAAAGTCTATTAAGTATTTAATTCCTGTCTCAGTTGAGAATAAGAATCTCATATTTAATTGATTTAGATTATACTTCTCTTTCAATCTGACTCTGAGACTATTGTATAATGCACAGTGCATTACAATATACTCAGGATTCTCATTTGTATTGCAGAATGAGCATTCTATTGAGTCAAATCTATCATCAAATCTTTGTATATAAGATTTGAAATAGCCATGTCCTAGTTTCAGCTGTATTATAGATGAGAATATTTTCTTTTTACATTTAATTGAACAAGATTTTCACTTGGGTTTTGTTTCAAATCTTGAATAATGTATACTCTTCTTTTGTTTCTACCAGCTTTCATTTCACTTGTCTAAACAAGATTCTTTTATTTTTCTCTTTATAAAAGACCAGGACATAATTTTTTGAATAGATCTGCTTAATTCTGCACCCTTTTTTACAGCTGAATCAGCCAATTCATTATCATGAATATTCATGTGAGCAGGAACTCAGTGCAGATGAATTATCAGCTTTGATATTCTTCTCTTTTGAATTTTCAAAACAGAGTTTAAGATCAGTTCAAGATTCATTTAATCATTATGAATCTGACTATTTCTAAGTCTTTTTAAAGCAGCTTAACTATCAGAGAATATTCATGTCTCTTTCAAACAATTTCCTCTTTTATAAGATTTTATTTCAATGAGTTTAAAAGCTTTCACTATTGCAACTAGTTCAGTATCAAAGACTTCACATTCAGAGCCTAGATTCCAGAAATCTGAGATAAAATTAATATTATCTTCAGTATAAGCAATGCCTGTGCCTAATCTATTCAAGTTCTCATTTTTTGAGCCATCTGAATAAACCATAATAGAGTCTTTTATATTGATTGTAGAAATTCTCTTCAAATGCTGTTCATATTCTTTCTCTTTTGATAGTTCACTTATTTATAAGTCTATAAGAGATTCAAGCTTTTCTCTTCAGAGAGATAACTTCTCATGATCAACTTTTTCAACATTTAAAGAAGAAAATTCATTTTTAATCAGAGAGCATAGTCTGTACAGTTGAGAAGGCATTTTCTTTGAGAAATTATTTTTATTTCAATCAAGAAATCTATTCCAATCCAGTTCATTTTCAGAGTTAATTGATGAAAATGAAGAAGAGACTCTTTCTCTGATTATATGATTTGAGCTCATCTTTACAACTCTCAGAGCATAGTTCATACAGACCTTTTCAAATCTAATAGCAGAAGGAGACATTGAAGCTTCAATTTTCATTGCTTTAATAGAAGATGATTTGAATGCTCTCAGAATTCTTCTCAAGGCTCTGTTTTACAGACTTTGAAAGAGTTCAGTGAAATTCCCTTGATTATTTCATCAAACTTGAACTTCATAATCAGCTACTGATGTAATACAGGCTATATATAACTGTCTCATAGCCTGGAAGAATAGATCTCTCTCTGTATTTGATAGTCTGATTATATTGTTCAATAGTCTTTCTGCCTTGACAGTTCTTTGTTGAATGTGATATTTAAAATTCAACTTGGAGTTTAATCATACTTCTAATCATTTGACATTTACACTGAATTTAATCTCTCTATTTAAAAGAGTTAGAGATAGTTCTTTCTCATTGAGTCTAGAAAAGAAATGAATTAACTCAGTTTTATTCATATCAAATTGAATTTAATTGATATCTACTCTAACAAAGATTTTCTTTGCAGCTTCTTCAATTACTTTCAAATTCTCTTTGATAGTTTTTAAGCTGTAGACTAGACCAATATCATTCACATAACTCAGAGATCACACTATTCTCATATTTCTATTTTTGAATAGATATGCAGTGTATGTTACAAATAAAATGAGTAAGATTGAAGATCCCTGTGATACTCCTATTTTTATCTCAGTCTTGTCTTGTTTCATTTCATCAAAGAAGAGTTGTATAATTCTTTTAGACATAAAACAGTTAACTCATTTTATTAGAGAAAGTGACAGTTTTAATATCTTCAATGTCTGAATTAACTTTGACTTTGAAACATGATCAAATGCTTTCTTTATATCAATAAAAACTGCAGTTGAGACCAGACTCTCATGTTTTGCTATTTGAATATCATGAACAACTGAGAGAACAGTGTCAATTACAGAATACTGTTTTCTATCTCTCATTTATTCACTGAATAAAAGAGAATCATCTATAGAGCTTATAAAAGATAGTCAAGTAGCTATTATCTTTTCTAAAACCTTTTCTAAACAGTTCAATAGAGATATTACTCTATATGACTTAGAAATTGAAGTTTTTCTATTAGATTTTGCAAGAATCACTCCAGTGGCTTCTCTTCAGCATTCAGAATAATATCCATTTTTCAAGAGATTGAAAAAGAGCTCAAAATATTCATTCTTTAAGTAGGAATATGTATTTTGAATAATCAAGTGATTAATTGAATCAGGACCTGCAGCAGTTTTAACAGAACTTGAGAAGATAGCTGACTCTAATTCATCTTGTGTAAGATCAGGTCATTCTCAGTCATTTTCATCAATATAGTTGAGAAGTGATATATTCTCTTTCTCTGAATCTGAATCTGAGTCTGATGAGTTCTGAAAGAGAATTCTCATAAAAGCTTGACATTTTTTCTTAAAAGAGTTTGCTGTATATAATTCATTCTGAAACTTATATTCTAAGACTGGAAGTTTTGCTACACTTCTTATTTTAGTATAGTTAAAAGCTTTAAAAATTTCCTTCTCTTGTGCTTCTTCAAGAAATTTATTCCAGCAGTCTGTTTTAACTCTTTTGATATCTGAAAAATATTCATTTCTCACAGCTTTGAACTCTTCATCAGATATTACATCATTTTTTCAATCTCTTCTAGCAGTAGCTAATTCTTTTCTTTTAGATGAGATATTCTCATTTCATCAAGATTTTGAATACTCAGAAGATTTTCTTTTTGAAATATTATCTCTAACACTTGTTAGAATAATAGATATAATAAGCTTCACTCTATTCTCAAGCATTTCATTTGAGATATCTTGACCAGAATTTCAATATAGCTCATTCTGTCTTTCAGATTTTAGCAGTTTTATACTTTCTTCAACTGCTTTTCAATCAGCTTTTTCAAAGTTATACTGATTAGAGAGAAGAGGATTTTCACTCATTTATTTTTCACTCAGTTCAATATTAAATTAAATAATCTCATGATCTGATTCTGATGTCTCATTTGAATTAATAAATCAGTTTACAAGTCTTCTTTTCATTAGATTTTGTGACATGAAGATTAGATCTATAATAGACTTCTGTTTCATACCTTTTCTAAAGAATGTTTATTGATCAGACTTATTAACCAAATCTATTGAATGCTCAAAGATTCATTTAATCAGATTATCAGCTCTCACTGCTCTCTTGCATTCTGAATTTCATCAGAAATGATGTGCATTGAAATCTCCTACAATTATAGAGTTTCTTGATGAAGTTATGTTCAGAAATTCTCTATCAATTGTTTAGATATTGTTATTTTTCTTCAATGACTTTTCATTATAGATATTTATGAGCTGTATAGTATCAAACTCATTTTCTTTATCTATAATATCACCCACCAGAATATCAGAGTCAGACATGATATCAAATCTTAGATTAAATTGATATCTTGATCTCTTTCTTTCATAGATCACTACTCTTGACTTTATCTCAGACTTTTGAGGTAAAAAGCAGTAGTAGCTTGAATGAGAAATAACATATTTTTGCTCAGCATCAAAATTCGGCTCCTGAAGCAGTATAAAATCAACTTTTTATTCAAATACAATTTGAAGACAAGAATAAATACAATTTGAGTTTCTATTCACATTATTTTGAATAAATGTGATTTTTGAAGAGTTTTTAAACTTTTTTTGTTGTTTTTGTTGTATATTCATACTAAAAGAGAGTAGAGTAGAATCTAATCACTATCATCAGATAGTAGATTATAACTGTTCTGAAAAGTAGAAATCTCAACTGCTTACATTATATCTAGTTTATCATCAGAGTCATTTCTCAATTCTCTAATCTTAACAGAAGTTTGAGAATTCAAGTTCTGTTTACATTTAGCTGGAGAGTTAGAGTTTGAAGACTTAGATAGTTGAGAGTTTCTTCTTTTTAAGCTTGCAGTTGTGAGTTTACTGGCTTGACTCTTCTCTTCAGTTCTAGATTGAATTTGAGCTTCATCTTTTCTCCAGTTCTTTTGAGTTCTAGAAGCAAACATACATTCTTTTGAGCTAGATGCATGTTTTTCTTTACAATTAGAGCACTTAAGCAGAGTATGTTGACAAATTTCATCTCTTTTTAAGCATGTTTCACATTTATACTCACTAGTTTTGTGATCTCTGGCACAGAATGCATATTTTAAGTCTCTAAAACATGAGATTGCAAAGTGTTCATATCTTTGACAGTTTGAACACTGTGTTTGAGCTTTGAGGTTCATTCTTGAGTCTTTGTATTCATGAACTCTCATTTTCAAACCTGCTACTCTTACTTCAGAGATCTTTGACTGTTCAAGTGTTTTTATATATACTAGAACAGAGGCATTTCTCCTGCTTTGTCTGAACTCAATTGAATTTAGTCATACAGGCTCCTTTCTCAGTTGAATAGAGTTGTATTCTTTCAATTCATTTTTAAGAAGTAGCATTTCTTCTTCACAGTCAAAGATTTCAACTGAAATATTATGAAGAATGAATTTGTCTCACTTTTCATCTCTTTCAGATAGAATTATTGTATTTAACAAAGATTCTACTGCTGACTTTCAGAGATTCTCATTCTGAATAAGGAATTCAGCACTGAATTCAGGCATTGTAGTCAGAATAATGAAGTTTTCAAAGAATGATGATTCAATTGAAGCTATAACTGGTTTTTGAACTTCAATATCAGTCATTAACTGAGAAAAGAACTGCTGATTAATTTCATTTCTGATTCTGAAAATGAGATTTGAGTTTAACTTGTTTCTTTGCAGAATGTTCTGATTTGAGACTTTGAGAATAAGTCTTCTATTTCTGAAGATTTGAAAGTTTTTCTCTTTTTGCATTTTCTTTTTCACTTTTCTATGAATAGAGGCATGAGCAGTATTCTTCTCAGTTTTCTCAGAATTTTGAGCAGGTTTTGAGACAGCAGATTTAGAGATAGCAGATTTAGAGACAGCAGATTCAGCTGCTTGAGCATATGTTTTCTTCTGATTCAAAGAAGAAGAAGAAGAAGAAGTAGAAAAGAAAGACAAGCAAACTGAAGAGTCAGTGATTATATTAGAAATTTTCAAAGTTTTTTGAACTGTGTTTGAAATTCCAAGTTTGAACTTGATCACTTTCTGTAGTTGTCTAGCCTGAGTATGAAGAATTAACAGAACTTCTTCATTCATCTCACTCAGACACTGCTTTTCAAGAATTTTACTTGCTTTTTCAAGTTTCTGTATTTCAAGAACTTGTTGTTTCTCTATCTCTTCTTTCTTTCTTCTCTTCAGAATTTCAATCTCAGAAATAGCATTTGAGAAAGCATCTTTTTTCACATCAACTGAGTGTACTTTTGAACTCATTATTCTTACTCAATGAAAAGTTGATCAGACTAATTCAATTGAGATATTTATTAAACTCTTTTGAATTGAAAAGTTGGTCAGACTGTTTCAATTAAGAGGTTTCTAAGTCTGTTTTCAATTGAAAAGTTGATCAGACTATTTCAAAAGAAGAATCACAGACTTTTGTGTATAAAACACCTGATTTTTTTCACACTAGTTCAGTAACTAGGTTAGATTTTTGAAGAGAATCTAATAAACTAAAATTGATTTTTAAGATAAATCAATAAAATCTTTACAATCTCTTTCTTGGAATACAGTGAGGAAAAGTATGATATCAATTGATAGTAAATCAGATTATATGACAGTTTTTGAGAGAAAAACTGATAAAAAATAAGTCAATTTTTTGAAGAGAAATTGATTAAAACTATTCAATTTTATTCTAAATTATTCAATTCTTCTCACACAACAGGTGTGCAACTCAAATCAGTTAATAAAGAGTGTAAAAAAGAATTAAGTATTAATAAAAGCTCTTCAGCCACTGAAAAAGTAATTCTTACTTAAAAGAATATGAAATTATGATAGAAAACAACTCTGTTTTTAATTCTTTGTAAGAATATTGTATAAAACTCAGAGAAAAACACCTTACTTTTTTAAGAGAAGTAAAAAAACTATTTCTAAAATCTTTTTTTTGCATTAACTGCTGCAGAAGAATGAGATAGAAACTGCTAAGATATACACTACTGTATACTCTCTATCAAGACTTTCCCTCTTCAGAGTCTTGATATTATAGAGAATATAAGTCTGTTTCTATATGATAATATAAATATTGTCAGTGGGATGTAGAGGAACTGATTATTTATATCTCAAAATAGAAGACTTTATCAATAATTATATCAATATAGAGTTAATTCTCAAATTCAATAAAAACCTAGTATTGCTGTTCTCAATCTCTTGCAGAATCTATTGAATATTGAGATATTAAAACTAGATTTAATATATCTCACTGTGCAGGGATCAAAGGCTCAGTCAGACCTTGAGATATACTGATTTTATAGTTGTCATGTCTGCTGATTATGTATTGAGTACAGTTGCTGAGGTATCTTTTTGTACTTTTCTGTCAGAGATGAGCCAGATTGAGAGAGGTGGTATGAGAATGAGACTTGGCATTGATGTTCAGATACACTGAAGACAGATCATGAAGATTGCACTTCAGAAGTGGTCATTGATTATGTGCTTGATATTATTACCAAGGTATCTTTTTGTATTTTTCTGCTGAGAATGGGCCAGATTAGAAAGGGCGGTACAACAGTGAAACTTGATGTTAATGTTTTGAAACATCAAAGATGGACAGGGTTTTCACAGAGATCACTCCTCAGATATCTTCACAACTACAGATTGAGAATCTTTCAAAATTGAGAAGATTGGTGCATATGACTAGGTCTCTTCACCTTACAATTTGTATGACACTTTGGCCCGGGGTTGTGGTGTGGTAGGGGAGAACAGGGGATACTCCCACACAGGAGTTTCAAACAACATCCAGTTCATGTTTGGCTGGATAACTCCACCATCACACAGGGTATGCAGTTGATGATGGGGTCAGAATGCTCATATGATCAAGGGCTTTTCAATGGATCTATTGGCGGGTTCTTATTCAAAAAATCAAGCGAGTTTGTGATGAAGCGGTTGTATAACTAGCTTTGATATTAATATTGTTAAATCTGCTTATATATTAACAAGCAAAGAGAATGATTTGACTGCAACTGCTCCATCATGACCTCGCTCGATTTTTCGAATAAGAACCCGCTGATAGATTCATTGAAAAGCCCTCAATCATACAAGTATTCTGACCCCATCACTGACCGCATACCCTGTGTGATGATGAAGTTATCCAGCCAAATGTGAACTGGACATTGTTCAAAACTCCTGTATGGGATTATCCCCCATTCTCCCCTACCACACCACAACCCCGGGCCAGAGTGCCATACAAATTGTAAGATGAAGTGACCTAGTCATATGCATCAATCTTCTCAATTTTGGAAGATTTCTGACCTGTAGTTGTGAAGATATCTGAGAAGCAATCTCCATGAAAACCCTGTCAATCTTTGATGTTTCAAAACATCAACACCAAGTCTCACCCTCATACTGCTCTTTTCAATCTGGCCCATCCCTGGCAGAAAAATACAAAAAGATACCTCAGTGATAATATCAAGCACATAATCAACAGACTCTTCAGAAGATCAATCTTCACAGTCTGTCATCAGTGTATCTAGACTTCAACACCAAGTCTCACCCTTGTACTATCTCTCTCAATCTGGCCCATCCTCAGCAGAATGATACAAAAAGATACCTTGGCAACAGCATTCAATACATAATCAGTGAACAATGAGTCAACAGCATATCAACAACTATAAAATCAGTATATCTCAAGATCTGACTGAGTCTTTGATCTCTGCACAGTGAGATATATTAAATCTAGTTTTAATATCTCAATATTCAATAGATTCTGCAAGAAATTGAGAACAGCAACACTAGATTTCTATTGAATTTGAGAATTAACTCTATATTAATATAATCATTGACAAAGTCTTCTATTTTGAGATATAAATAACTAGTTCCTCTACATCTCACTGACAATATTTATATTATTATATAGAAACAAACTTATATTCTCTATAATATCAAGACTCTGAAGAGAGAAAGTCTTGATAGAGAGTATACAGTAGTGTATATCTTAGCAGTTTCTATCTCATTCTTCTGCAGCAGTTAATGCAAAAAAAAAAAAGATTTTAGAAATAGTTTTTTACTTCTCTTGAAAAAGTAAGATGTTTTTCTCTGAGTTGTATACAATATTCTTACAAAGAATTAAAAACAGAGTTGTTTTCTGTTATAATTTCATATTCTTTTAAGTAAGAATTACTTTTTCAGTAACTGAAGAGCTTTCATTAATACTTAATTCTTTTTTACACTTTTTATTAACTGATTTGAGTTGCACACTTGTTGTGTGAGAAGAATTGAATGATTTAGAATAAAATTGAATAGTTTTAATCAATTTCTCTGCAAAAAATTGATTTATTTTTTATCAGTTTTTCTCTCAAAAACTGTTATATCATCTGATTTAGTATCAATTGATTTGATATCATACTTTTTCTCACTGTATTCCAAGAAAGAGATTGTAAAGTTTTTATTAATTTATCTCAAAAATCAATTTTAGTTTATTAGATTCTCTTTAAAAATCTAACCTAGTTACTGAACTAGTGTGAAAAAAATCAGGTATTTTATACACAAAAGTCTTTTATTCTTCTTTTGAAACAGTCTGACCAACTTTTCAATTAAAAACAGACTTAGAAATATTTCAATTGAAACAGTCTGATCAACTTTTCATTGAGTTGTGATTCGGAAGAACGTACGACCGTCGGATAATACCGCGGCCGCTTCCGAACTACTAGCGTACGCGTACAAGTGTAAAGGGGCCATAGTGTACACTAATTAATTTAGTGTATGAGATTACAATATAAGAAGCCGGTGTACACCTGTAATTGTACACTGGCTTAAGCAATCTTTGAATCACATCTGATAGCATGTCTAAAAACTAGTGAGAAGTGCAGGCTCCTCCAGAGCATGATAATTCTGTCTATGAAGTGATTTGTAGTTATCATGCCAGTGTGATTCTAGAATGTCTCAAAAGATAGTGTACAAAGAGCAGTGAGTGAAAGAGCATCTGATTGATACTGCTTCACTTGTTGAGAGAAAACTCCACACCCAGGCACATGCCATGTATGAGATGTGAATGAATGAGATGTGAGAAAGAGGATGGGAGCAGTGAACCAGATTCAAAAAAGTTCACTCCCTACTCAAAAGAAGGATAAAAGAGAGAGTGGCCACCACCAGAGTTGTACAATGATAACAGAAATCATATAACAATATAGTGATATAATGATATAAGCAATATAATAATAGACATTATATGATCAATCAGAAACCAATCACTG